AGGAAAAGGAAAAATACACATTAAAAGTGTGAAAAGATTGAAAGAAAGTGTCTTTCTGAGTACATTCCAGGTTTTCCTTTTTTATGACTTATTTCAGCTGTTAATACTAGGCTCTTTTTCTCCTGACTTGATTCCAGCTGTTAAAATACTAGTTTATACCAGGCATTTCTGCTATTGGTTCCTAATGGCATGAGCTTGAATTTTGTACTACTGAATTTTTTATTTTTTAAATACCATTTCACGAGATGCTCCTGGCTTCCAGGTGATTACAGGATCAGAATATTGTACGCAGTCTATTTTGCCTATTTAGTAGCCTTTTAAATAGTCATTGGCCAAGAGGAAATGGCCTGTCTTCCAAGTTTTGGAATCATACTAGTACTATATACTATATATACATACAGTACTATATACATATAGTACATACAGTACTATATACATACTATATATGTGTAACTGGATCAGTCCTTGGAAGATCTGTTTAGTAGCCATAATTTGCTTACATGACATAAATTTTTTTTTAATCATTACGTGATTTAAAAACCCTCCAGCAACAGCAATTTAAAAGCAATTTTATTCTTGAAATATCATGCATAAGGAAAACAAGACAGATGACATTGTTCTAAGATTATTGTGCATTTTCTGTTTAATTCAGTAAAATATGTTTGAGTACCACTGGGATCTTTTATCTTTTTTTGGAAGTATATATTAACTGGCACAAGGGGATGTCGATTTTTCTGTAACACTGTAGAGAATCAAACTGGCACGGCTGGTAAGTTTTTGCTGTGTATGCGATAAATTGTAATAAATTGAAGCTAATGTAGCTTTTGTTGTGTGCAGGTCATTTTTTGCTTTAATATATGGTATGGTCCATGCATACAATAGATCTAAATAAGTACTTATTTCAGAGAGGCCTAACTTGGATGTCTTCACTACATACTGTTTTTTTTGATGGATGGTGCTTGGCTTCTAAAGGCCTTTTCATTTAAAACAAGGTCAACAGTAGTAATCTCTTGGGGCAATGTCAGTCTCAATTATAGAGGAGATAACACAATGAAATTGAACTACAATTTTATGTAGATAAATTTCAAACAAACTTAGCATATTTATAATCAATGTATTTGAAAATATTTGGGTATAAAGTAGTGCAGTGGTGTTGGGTAGTCGTATGTGTGTAACCAAAATACTGGAAAATTGATGTTATTTGAAATACTTTTAACAGTGGTCCATAGATAATTTATGATAATAACTTAATTTCACACTGGAAATAACATGGAATTCTGTCCATTTTCATGTACCTGCTGTCTATGAAAAGTCTCTCTAATAGTTTATTTGCAGTCAAGGTGGGAGAGAAATTGAATGTAATTCAGAGCATCTTGAGGCTGTTGTTCAGGCGGACTTGCTATTTTCAACATAGTGCTCAGTCACTGTAATTATGATCTCTGTGAGACACTAGGTATTGTAAAGGAATGTCAGCCCGTCTAAGTAGCAGGAGACAAATACTATTTAGAAGTTGGAATACAGAAAGGTGAAAACTAGACCAGAAGTGTAAATGTGGTGGGAGATGACAGATTAAAACAGTCAAAGTGTCTGGATGCATTTGGTTACTTTATAATGATTTGACACATGTAAAAATAAATGTGTTATCCCACAGTCCGTAGACGACATATTCTCTGTTTTTAGAAACTCAAGGTGCATCTTTAAATGTGTGACCCAAGCCAAGAGTTGCACTTGGATAACAAGACCATCTATATTATCAGTGTGATATTACAGAGCACTTGCAAGGCATGTTGAATCTCATGTTGTCACAGATGCATTGTTCAAGCTTAAGTGAAAGGGGGAAGAATTATGTTGTAACGTTTTTTTTTGTTTGTTTTTTTTAACTGGTTAGGTATTATATTTGCTGAGTTTGGTAAATGCTTTTTGGCATCTTTGTGCCCCATCTCAAGGTTTTTTGCTTTCTTCTTCTCTGTGGTAGATAACTGTATGATTCCCCCTCCTTTTGGACAGAGCTTACCCTCTGTTGAGAGAGGTCCACCATACAGTGGATGAATAGCTAAGGCATAAACTCTAGGACTTCTTTACAAACTTAAGTTATGGGCCTTAGTTATGATGTATATTATGACCTCCTGTTTTTCCTTTCTGTTAATAGGATCTGTTTTTACGCTGAAAGTTCAAGTAAACGACATCATCAGTCATCAGTACCTGCGACAAGCAGTTGTAGAAGTGTTTGTTAACTACACGAAGACAAATTCTACTCTTACTGGAAACAATGGAGCAGTATTAATAAAAGTTCCCTACAAATTAGGATTAAGCTTAACTATCGTATCGTACAAGGATGGCTACATGTTAACACCTTTGCCTTGGAAGACTGGGAGAATGCCAAGTACGTAAGCATCTTACAGTCCTATTATTAAACTGTATCTGTCGGTAATTAAATTTCTCTCTTCCTCAGCAGGCTGGGTAGTTACTGTCAACTGAAAATGACTGCATGAAGTCAGTCAAGGCAGGTGGTGCCTGTCAATGCAGATGTAAGGGTGAATGATCTGTTAGACTTGTCAAAATTCTTATTATTGTAAAACAGAAAATAGCCCTTTTTAACTCTAAGTAGGTTATATTGTGATACTGTGAGTGTATTCTGAGAAATTGTTTACCTAGACTTAGCAAAGGGCTGGTAATGTGTTTTGACAAAAATCATGTTGTCTTTAGTGATTGCTGGGGTGCCGGTGCTTCGAGTCCTGTGTAACAGGTATAACCTGTTGTTATAGCTTCCTTTCAGCAGTGTTTCCTCACAAGTTCTCCTGTTTAACTATTGCATGCTCTTAAAAAAGTTACATGTTTTTTTTTTTTTTTTTTTGAAAAAGAGATGGACTCTTTAGAATTCTAGCCACTTGTTTATCTGTAGAAGGCATAAGACAGTAGCAAACATACAATAGAGGTCTTCCTGCCTAACCACTAAAATTCCTGCTCTGGACAACAGGAGTAATTTGTTTATCCAGTCTTCATATGCTCTCTTTTTTTAACTGCTCTATTCACTGTTGTTCAGAATCGGAGATCTTACAGGATTGTTTTTGGTTGCACAGTGTAACAGATATTATCACTTTCCACAGTATACTCGTCTGTGACGCTTTCATTGTTCCCACAAAGTCAAGCTAATATATGGCTGTTTGAAGATACTGTCTTAATTACTGGAAAACTGTCTGGTAAGTTCAGTGTATGCAGACCGTAATCTGAACACTTTGTGATAACCATCTGTACACATATAAAAAAATAATCAAGCGTGTTCATATTCTCATATAATACCTATCTACTCAAAGCCAGATTTTCAGTTAACTGTGTAGCTGTATGTGTGGCTGTGACAAGTGCTAAACTAGAAATACACAAACCATGGAGAAAATGGGAGAAAACAGGTTGTTATGCTGAATGGATTTCTGAGCAGTAATAAGAACCACTGTTTGTGTGTTTTACCATTGCTAAGACAAAATATTACTCTTTTACAGATGCCAAATCTCAACCAAGTGTTCAGTTTCCAAAATTTTTAATAAAGCTTCCAACAAATCACCATATTACAAATGTTACAGCCTATCTGACAGTGCCAGAGCAATTTTTGAAAGTGGACAGCTTCCTCTATACAACAGGAATTCTCCTAAATAAATCAGGTATGTAAATAGGTTGTTTAAGAATTTTTTTAAAAGAAGAAATCTTCAAATTATAATGCATATGAGTGCACAGCATTTCAGAAAAACATATGCTTAAATTAAAAGGGCCTGAGCCTGCTTCCATTGTATTAAATGACAAAGCTTTGTTCTACAGGATTAAGCTATAAACACATCAGGTAAGTAATTGATGTCACTCCTTATCTTGTTCCATGTAGTATGAAAACATAACATGTCTTACTACACTGAAATACTCCTTCAGAGTCTGCTTTTTACATATATGTCTCTGTGTGTGTTATATGTATATGTTCAGTATTTCATGAGACTGTGGAACTGGTTTAGTAAACACGTTAAAAATATGGTTATGGCCAGAGTGTAAACTAGGTGAACCTAAAGAAATCGGTGAAACCGCATCAGTTGACTTCAGCTGTAGGGGTTTCTGCATTTTCACCAGAATGGTTGGCTTTAGAAGCTTTATACCTAGCAAAAAGATTGTATGGAATCTCTAGTTTGGCTCACAGACAGTTAATCTGCGTAAGCCTGTTTGAAACCAAGTAGTCACTATGTATACAGAGCACAATTGTAATAGTGTTTTCTGTGCGTCTGTTTCACTGGAGAAGCAGTAAGTGGTTTCATGAGTCATTATAAATCTGCTCGTATGCAGTTGAATCTTTTAGTATTTGTCATTCGATCAGTTGGTTTTTTTTATTTGCATAAATACAGTGATCTCTGGTAGGTTGTACTGTATGCAGTTCCATCTTTCTTTTGTTCTTTTCTTTCTATTCCCAGTGGACCTGAAGCCATAAGGCTCTTAAATTCATTGCAGCGCATGAGGAGGCCACTACATGGCTTACTTGAACTTGTCGTGTTTTCTTCTTTAATTTTCATTGAATTAAAATCATCATAATATATTGCTGTCTTGACTTACATGTTTTAAACCCTTTCTTATCTATATTTCACCCCTTTAAATGTAAAGCATAAGAGAATAAGCAGTGTTTCTCAACTTCAAGTTTTCCTTTCAATCTGTCTGGCATATGTTTTAAATTATTCATATACTCCTAGAGGAACAGGCTTCCTTTTAGGGCAGGTGGAAGCTAATTGATATCTGATGCACCAGGAGTTTTCTCACAACCAGCTTCTAACAGCTTGCATAGATTTAACATTATTCTGGTACTTATTAATTCTGTTTCAGCTTTTTTCACCATCCTGTCATATCTTGCATTCTGAAGTATTTGCAAATTAATGTAAGGAAAAGAAAGGAAATAAACTTTCAGACTGCATTGTAAAGCATTGTATCTGTGACTTTTCCTTTGAGTGCTTTGACAAGCCTCATGATTAACTGTTCAGTTAATTATAAATGCCAAATTAGAAAGTTAATCCTTACAGGAAAGTTTAAGAGAACTGTTCAACTAAGGAGAAATGCAGCAGTCATATACTTGCATATGTCTTCAGTTTGATTCAATGTTATGTATATTGCAATTATACAAAAATTCTTATTATCTATATTTCACATAGTAATCAAATTTTCTGAGGGGGAAAAAAGCCAAGTTTTGCCTAATCATTGGTTCTACAGTCAGCATTGAACCTATATGTTAAAAGTCTGTTTCTCTTTTACAGATTTGGTATTAAAATGACTGGGTTTTATTTCAATCACAAGATTTTAAAAGTCCAGAAGAGAAGAAATATTGATTTTTATTTACCAAGTTGGTGACAGCTGATTGTGTAGCTGGATGTGAATGAAGGCTCGCCTTTAGTTATAATGAGGATAGATTCTTAATTCTAAATATTTTTTTTAAAAATACACTATGAATGGAGAATTACAGACAAAATATTTCTCATATTCAGGTTTCAAAAGCATGGAATTAGCTCCTCTTGCTGCAATATGCGTAAACGTTCTTTTGACTGGGAAAGAACTGAAAGTAAATGGTCCCATTCAGATTACACTTCCTCTTCCCACAAGTACTGTAAAATCAGGAGATGCTATACCTGCATGGACATTTGATATGAAAACTGGTAAGTGGGCTAAGTTATTTGTTATTGTACCTTTTAGCACATGTATATAGTTTTGGGCACGTGACACTGTACGTCATGGAACAGTGATGGCACTAATACATGAGGTGGTGGTAAATAGTCACAAATTTTATTAGGGGTTCTGTGTTGTTTTTTGATTGACTAGCTTGAATTGTTCAAAGGAATTTCCCTGCTTTCATTAGTTCAAAAAGCTTTGGTAAAATTCATTAGCCTTTCTGTTGAACAAATTTTTAATGTAATGGATTTTTATTTTCATGGGCGGCTAAGGATTCAGGGAACATACATTTTAGGTGTTGTTAAATTATAAGTCTGGTAATGTTGTGAATGCCTTCTTAAAAGAAAACAAATCAGAATTGAAGATTTGGATGCTTTGTTTCCTAGAGTATAGCTCTAAAGATCCTTTGACATTAAAACTGGAATAGATATTACTTCAGTTAACAAAAGCAATTCAGAAAGTGAAATGAAGGGGAAATAAGAGTTATCAAAGGGAACAACATAGTTCTTACTGTATGCATGGGAAGAGGAGGCTGGGGATTAGACATTCCAAACCTTTTGTCATCCCTTCATGTCTAATTTTAGTCAAGAGTGAGTAATGAGCTACATACACTTATCCCATTTAGATGTCCTGTATTAGGTGTGTGTGCATTAGTGTACTGATTGTCTTATGTCGTACCTTATACTTTCCATCACACTTTGTCTTGAAATATGCAAGTGAGTGAAGAGGTAACTGTCTTATTCCTTATTAAGACAAAAAGCTGTTATTCAACTGTTGGAAGTACAGGAGAGGACACCAACTCTAACAAAGTGGTGTTTACATGTTCAAGAAAGAAACTGATCATCTTAATGAAGAACAACCAAAGAACATTAATTTGAATTAAGAACATGCTAATGAAAAATTGGCTAGGTTGTCTCTTGGGGAAAGAGTGATTAGAATAAGTTTTGGCATAGAAGATTAAGTCTGTCTATACACCTGGAAGACTTCAGAGGGGTAACCGGTGATAAGAGAGAGCGTTCTTCATCAAAGAAGGGGTTTTAGTCTGACATGGTAAAACAGCACAAGGGGTTTTAGACTTCAGAGGTAACTGGTGATAAGAGAGAGCGTTCTTCATCAAAGAAGGGGTTTAGTCTGACATGGTAAAACAGCACAAGGGGTTTTAATTTCTTGCTGCCACAGCCGCTTTTGCCAGCTTCTGTGCTCATCTGTACCTATCCTGAGCTGTTTTAACTCACTAAACAGAAAACTAGGTCAACAATGTTATTAAAAGTTGGCAGAGCTAGAGCATCTCGGCACAGGGTCAGGTTAGAGTATAAACCAGTGTAAGGTGTGTATGTGGGTGCTGAGGGGCTTACTCAGCACGCCTACTTAGGCATGTTGGCCTTGGGGATAGAGCAAGAGCAGGAGCATGGCATGCTGACCCAATAAAAACAATTAAAACAGTTGGTTTTGTCCTCGCAGATGGGGTGTACTCTATTGATAGAGGTTCCGTAAAGGTCAATTGTTTGTGATGGGTGCTCACTGAGGTGTAGTGTTTGCATGGAGCCTTCACTGCTGCTTGCTGAGGAGAGGACAAGGAGGTCTGTGGACAAGGAGAGAGACTCTTTGGGCATAACTCTAACTTCCACCTTTTCTTCCACTTCTTCAGCTCTTCTCTACAGTGAAAATTTGCAACTGTATTCACTGTTCTGGACATCTATTCTTTAAATATGTTTCTTTTATTTTTACCTTTGATCTGACCTGTGCAAAACAACTTTTTTTCTAAGGTAACTGAGTAATAGCAGGGTGTTCCTTAGTCTGGGTTCTGGTGATAGAGGACAGCTGAACACCTCAGCTCTCCAGCAAGCATTTGAGAGCGTCGATAAGTAGCAGTGGGCCCCCACCTGAGCTGAATGGAGAGCTACTGAATAATGAGGCTCTGGCATCCAAGATGTTGCATGCAGGATGCTCCCGGCAAGATGTTGACACACACTTTTAAACTCTGAAGTCATAATGGTAATCAGAGCTTCCAAGTCGGAACTGATAGTGGTAAGGGAACAGGTCTGTGTTTGATGTGTAGACTGAGCCACATGCACCAGAAGAAAGGACAAACTGCTTTCACATGGCTGCTTGTGCAGTGTTCCCTGGGGTTACTCCAAGCGTAATAGTACTGACACCGTTCCTGGAAAATGAGCTTTTGTAATTATATTCCAGCTGCTGTAAATGTGGAATTTGTTGATGTATATTGAATGTGGCTTCCTTCTTACTAAATATTTTGCCTCATTAGTACCAAAAGCACTTTGTGGATTTTAATAGAATTAAAAAAAAAAAAAAAAGCTTGCATTGCAACATTATCTTGAGAATGATATCCTTCTGTTTAGCAGTAAATCATAGAGAATATGTGCTTACTCATAAATCAGATTTTAATGTTTTTTCTTAATATGTACTATTTTCTATCAAGTATATTGGGGGTGGAGATAAAATTTACTGAAGAGGACAACAAAGATTTTATAGCTTCTCATAGATTTGTTCAGTCAAGACAGAGCTTCTGGAGACCTGAATTTTTTTTGCCTTTTATATGTGGTATTTTGTGTTGTGTTTTATCTGCCTGTAAGTAGCCCACCCTCTACACTTGTAAAACAATAGTTTTGCAGTATAGTGACATCTTGCCTTAGGGTTGACAGGACAAAGAATTTGAGGATCTGTTGTTGTTGCCTCCATATGAGATTTAAGGATGGAAGACTCTTCGGCCGGTCTTGCTCCTGAGTCTGGACAAGAAGTTTTCCAGGCAACTGAGAAACCACCTCTTTCAGGGCTGTAGGTGGCTGCCGCTGCTATTCCCCTCTGCCACCCATCACAAGTACCATGAGAAGGCTGCAAGTTTTACTGCCGAATGATATTTTGTTTGTGTGTGTCTGTGCGTGTGTGCATATGTGGCATGTGTCAGTTCTCATCTTTACCTCCTGTCTGGTAGATATTTCCTTTTGCTTTGCTGAAAGAAGGGTCCTGGAGGAAAATTGAAATTATAGGGCTTATATGAATTATACTTTTTGCATGCTTTGGTTATTAAAAAAGCTGGTGGTTCTCTCTCCTCAGTATTTGCAGTTTGAAAACGTAAGGTTGGTTGTATGAGGTTGTTTTCTGTCCTTAGAATTTCACAGATGGCCCACAATAAATGTGTTCAAGTGCATTAAGTATAATTATGTCTCTTCTACTGCATGCTTTATTAATTGTAGAAGCTGGCATACCATAATACCTGTCCTTTGCATTGCCAAACAGATGGTGTGGAATCTGTGTCCTAACAATAGACCTTCCTTGGGCTAACTGAACTGTTACTGCCTTGGGGCAGGGAGAAGGCGAGAAACATCCAAGACAAACCTTGTTTATCCTATTATGGCTTATTAGATTAAAACGCTTTCCCACTAAATGCTGCTAGCTAATGTTAAACTTGTATTCATATACTTAAATTACATGCTCCTTGATTTTTTTAGTCTTGGCCTTCATGCATGCTTAAGCTCATATAACAGGATTTTTCACATTATTTGTGTGCATATTTATGGAAGATGTTTGTTAATAGAAAATGAATTATATTAATTCCAGTAAGTAATGTTGATGCTTTGTTTCAAAGTAAATGTCTACACAGGGATATTTGCAATGAAATTGTCAAGAGAGAAAGTTTGCATGTTTAGCTAAAGCTGTGTAATAAATAGTGCATAGGTCAGAAGTTTCAGTTTTTCTTGTGACCTTGTGTATTTTTTGGTAATAGCTTAATTGCTAATGGTTGAGGTATAGAAGAATCCTGCATGGCATGTGCAATATTTTTGTCTTTTTTTTTTTTTTTTTTTTTTTTCTCTCAGGTGCTTGGGTAAGCCGTGGGCTAGGAATGGTAAAGGAAGCAGATGGTCAGTTAGTATGGACGTATACTGCTCAACACTTAGGCTACTGGATAGCAGCTCCACTGCCTGGAACAAGAGGTACTGCAACAACAGGAAAAGAAATTACTGAGTAACCGAAGTAAGAATGTATCATAAGGCTGTCAATTTGATTGCTTTATTTAACAACAGGAAGGAAAAAACTACATGCAGTTTCAACAGTTGGATAACCTTTGTTTGAATCCCGATAGCGTGCCTTTGTGCATATAACCATTTCCTAGAACTTCAAATGCTCTAGGGGGAAAAGTCCAGACTGTATTTGAGCTTGTATGTTTATACTAACACTATCTTTTGGAAGAAGCCAGCAAGGGAACTGTGACTATGGAGATCTAAAAATCGGCAGGACTGTATGCCTTACTGTTGAGCGTCATGCATGACAGGAGGAATTACAACAAGAAAATTAGTCTTGGGTAAAACGGTCCCAGTGGATTCTGTTTTATATAGATTTGTTGCATGTTTTGCAAATTCATATGAAAGGATTCTTATGGGAGAAATATGATGTCAAAATTTAAAAACAGATAGCACTTTCTGACAAAAGCACTAAACAGAAAATGTAGACCATGTTTCTAAGTCAGCTTGGACAACTAATACAAATGTAATTTGACTGGAATTGAGTAGATGTCATGGTAAGGCTTTAGTACTTGAGATGAACCTTTGAAGGTCCATTGTATTGTAGTCACTGTTTGTATATTTTCTAGTTTGCTGAAATAGCAAGGTGAAAAGGGAAGGATGAACATAGTGCTATAGGAACTCAAAATCACTGGAAAAGTACAGTTTAATTTATTAGTTACAGCTCTGCATATCAAGAGGAACTATTTGGTTTTGAGAACTAATTCTTGTCTGGTTTTGTTTGACAATCTAGAATCCATTATTAGTGCGGTTTCCAAGGACATAACAGCCTATCACACAGTGTTCCTTACAGCCATACTGGGAGGTACTGTTGTCATTATCATTGGATTTTTTGCTGTTCTTCTTTGTTACTGCAGGTAAGCAAAAAGAGAGGCTCTAATAAGCTCAGCATGAATGGAATTTAAGGTTGATAAAATAGTATTTTGAAGTTGAGACTTGTTTCCTTAGCTGAACTACAATGTGTAGCCTAATATTTCTTTAAAAATTACAATTATTACAGAACTTCATTTTATGTTTGTGACGTCACATTACGCTGTAACTTCTTAACGAAAATCTCATCTTCAGCTCTGGTAGTCAACAGTCTAGTATTTCCTAGTATGCTCTACAGTCACCTTGCATCTCTTTTGCATAGGGATAAATGTGGTCGGACACAAAAGAAGGAAAAAAATACAACTAAGCTGGAGGTCATAAAAAAAGACCAGACAACATCAACAACTCACATAAATCACATCAATGCTGTTAAAGGGTCTTTAAAGTTGGAGGATAAGTCACAGTTATATACACCGAAGATTTCTTCATACAGCCCTCAAAGGAGGATGTCCATAGACACGGAAGATGGAAAATCACGAGACAATTTTAAAATCTACACAGAGGATGCTTATCAGTCATCCTGTCAGACTGGTCAGTCAAGAAATTCAGCCCATTCATTGGAGCCTAATGCTGGAGTTAGGAACTTACAGCAGCCAAAGCATGGTAACAGTACTATTTCCCAGGCTCCTAGGGATGTTCAAGACCAAAACAGATACCTTTCACTGAAAGAGCAGATGTTTGGGCTTTCCCATATCCCAGAACATCTGATGCATATTTACAATCAACCTATTGCTATTCTTCAAACCTCTGACCTTTTCCACTCCCCAGAACAATTGCATCCTGCTAAATCAGCAACTTTGCCAAGAAAAGGGCAGTTAGTATATAGTCCCATGATGGAACCCATGAATCGCGACAGTTACATGCAGACGTTACCGAAAATGCCAGTGCACTCTCATCCACAGCCTTCTGCCTGCAGAGATGAAAACAGCACACTAGATAGTGAAGAGGGCTTACCTTCTCAAACATCAAACTGGGGCCGGTACACTAATAGCTTACTGGAATCTGTCTCTGTTCCTGGGACATTGAATGAAGCAGTTGTAATGACTCCATTTTCATCTGAACTTCAAGGTATTTCAGAACAAACATTATTGGAACTCTCTAAAGGAAAACCGTCTCCACACCCTCGAGCATGGTTTGTGTCCCTGGATGGAAAGCCGATCGCTCAAGTGAGGCATTCTTTCATAGATCTGAAAAAGGGCAGAAAAACTGAGAGTAATGATACCAGCCTGGACTCTGGTGTGGACATGAATGAGCATCATCCTAGTAGGAAACTAGAGAGAGAGAAAACTTTCATAAAAAATATGCCACATTCTAAGATCCTTTACTTGGAAGATCTGGATCTGAGTAGCAGTGAAAGTGGGACCACTGTTTGTACTCCAGAGGACCAGGCTGTGAGGCACATTCTGGATGGAGGGAATGGGCCAGTCATAGAACAAGATGAAGAAGGTCTAAAACGAAAAACTGTATCAGGAAGTCATGAATCTGGTATCCTTTCTGCTAAAAAAAGGGATAGACCGTCTATCATGAAAAGAGATAGCAAAACCAATATCTGGAAGAAAAGAGAGGAGAGGCCGCTTATTCCTATAAATTAAAACACAATGTGCTTTGTGTTCTTGCTCTCCCTGCTGGTTATTGACCTCTTGGATGCTTCTGTAATTCTGCAGTGTTGGGTTTACAAGGGAAATGTTGTTTTCTAGTATCAGGAAAAGTTACATTTTTTAAATACACAGATTGAGTTACTAAACTTCAACTGGGCAATTGATATTCAGTGTGAATTGAAAACAGGGAAATGCTACTATTAAAATTTTCCAGTTCCTAATTTTGCTGGCAGTATAGGGAAGGCCCACATTTTAATTAGCCTGTCATTCTTGGACGCACCTCTGGGAATGCATGGTGAGAAATGTAGGCACATGTTTTAATTTTTTTGTACTTGTTGCTAATGCATTGGTAGACTAGTTAAAGCCATCCCTCAGCCTTGTTCCTAATCAATGTGACCATCTGTACAGTATTTTATATGTGAACTTTTCTAGGGATCTGTTACTACTTCTTTGTATAATGTAAAATGTTTCATCAGTCCCACGACACCAGCAGATGAGCTCTGTTGCATTCCTCAGCGGAGCTCTATAGCATTACTACCCTCCCTGTGTGCCCATCTATGTGCAAAAGGTTGCCATTCCATATAGCAGCGGCAGAAGGGGGAAGTGTACAAGCTCTGTGGCCGCTGCAGTTCACGGTCCCTGCTGTCTTAAAATGTTGCCCATCTGCTTTGTTTTTAATCTGCTTTGTTATGAACTGTGGACGTTGAAGATTGGCATCTGCTATGAAGTGTCCACATCCAGCAGAAAAGGACTGGTTCCAGTAGCATCGGAAGCTGCTGCTACTACTGATCCCAATGTCTTGTTTTGGCTTCGTCGTCAGTTAAAATCTTCTCTTCTGCATGCTGTTGGGCTGGTTGAGCTTGACAACAGTCTTGGATCCTTGCAGATTTGTACGATAGAGTTTGGCCCATAATGAAAAAGTATGCAAGTTTAGACAAATTATGCCTTTGAAATAGTTTCTTTTAGCAGGAGAGTTCGGCACTGTTGCTTTTTATTTTATGTTTAAAAAAAATGGAAGATCATCGGAGGTGTATGTGCCTACATTTTGCCAGCCTGAGCTACTTTTGTCTAGGTTGTGCATCGCAGAGGGGTTAAACAGGCTTTAAAAGTTGGCGTTTTTTATGAGCATGAGAGCAGATTGCAAAATTTGGTCTATAATGCAATATAAATACTACTTATGACTCATCTTAGAGTTAAATTTACCAAAAGTCATGAATGCATGAAATGTAACTAAGATATGTATAGAGGAAGGAAAAGGCCATCAGAATATTCTTTATTTTTAATGTTCATCTTGTCAAAGTGATCGTTTCAACTCTGGCTAACAGAAAAGTTGATGCATCCCTTAATGTGCTTCATATAGTATATAGAGTGTCTTTCTGTGGCTTTGAAGCTGTTTCCCTGGTAAAATAAGTTCCAGCATTTTGGCTTTGGCAGTTTGATTATAGATCATCCTAAAAAAGCTTTATAAATATTTCCCTTAGAGCTTGGTTAAGGTTTTATACCAAGACTCAAACATACAATGCCTATATCTGAATTGTGGGGTGAGGCGCACTAGCTGTCTGCCCTGTAATACACTCAAGAGTTGGGAAATATCCTGTGCAGCTGGGCTTCTGGGAATATTTACTCAGGAAACATTACTGTGAGATGTCTGTTATGTTGGGATTGTCAGTTGTCTGGTCCTGTTTCTAGAGAATATGCAAGGTAACCAGAATGGTACTAGCAATACATCAATCCAGCTTCTGGTGTGCAGTTGCTTCATGAACAAAATATGGTGTTCCTATTGAGTTCACAAGTATGAAAGTGCAAAATAAGTTCGAGATAGGTGTGCAAATAAGTCTATAATTTTGATTGGCCAAAACAATCTGGTTTAATTATATGATTCATCTACTTCAGAGCTGAAGATGGATTGTCATATTATCATGCCTTTGGTACTCTTTTTAGGTAACTGTAATTCAGTTTTCCTATACCGAATACATTTTCACAATACTTTTTTTTTCCTATATGCACTTCCACTGGATTTTGTGTATGACTAAATTCCTACGCCAAATACTGATATTTTCATCCTTTACATTGTTGTATACGTTAGTAGGAATCAATTTATATATTTTGAGTGTAGATGCACATTTCTTTTGACAGCTGCTTTGACTTTTGAGGTTTAATATTGCCCTGCTCTTAGAGTTGCATCAGTTCTGATGGCTTCCTTTTCAAAAAGAGAATATTCTATATTCTGTTGGACATAACAGAAAATCCCTGACAAGCTAATGGTTTTGAGGTGTTAATATTAAATTGGTATGTCTCTACTTGAAATTTTGTTCACCTACAGTAACTTAAATGTATTGCAGATTTTTTCAATGCATTTTTTCATTGTATATACCCCAAAGGCCTAATTCCTCAAACTTAACGTGTATCGTTAAAAAAATACAGACTACTGTAAATGGCTTTATTCATGTGAGTTCAAAGGAACAAAGTTTTGCACTCCAGAGTTCTTGTTCTGCATCCGAGTAGTATCTGGTCGCCAAAGAAAAAGGATTAGAAATGTTGAAAAGATCAGTTATAACTTTGGGACTTCAAACTAGGTGCCAGAAGATATACTGATGTAGTGCAGATTCTTGTCTGCTCTGCTAGGGGATCAAGAGCAAAGAGCAGAGTTTGGTTCTGTACCGTCATTCTAAAGGAGCTTTTGGCTGTCCGGATTAGTCACAATTTTACCCTGCGCGTATGGTAGTGCAAAATGGCCCCTTTAAAGGCTATGCATCAGTGATCCACTTCAGCTTTTAGCCAACAAAGCAAGTCAGAGTGGAACAGATCTTCTTGCAAGAGTTTCTTGCTGCTAGGCTTCTCGGTAGTAGGAAGATAGATGAATAAAGTTTTATGAAAAATAGGCATCTCATCATATATAGGATTGGTATCTCTACTAGATAGTAGCTCCTCCCTTGCCAAATCAGGGTGTGGGCATTTCTTTTAGTGGAATATTTAAATTCTGTTCTGGAGAGCGCATGCTACAGTTCGGGTCATACCATTTCCAAGGCTGTCTTTAGCTGTTGCTTTTACCCATGTCAGTCAAGCAACAGCTATCTTTGCTTGCTTTGTAGATCCCGTACGCCAACTTTTCTGTGTGCAACTTGCTAGCATTTATCGCATGATGTCTTATGCTGCTGGTAACACTTGAAAAGGCTTTTCTAAAGTTGAGTTTTATATTAAAAATAAATACATAACTTGTTTTCTGTGTCAGAAGATGAGAAAACTATTCTGTAGAGAGAAATTATTGCTGCAGTTGTATCTGCAAAGATAAATGCTACATGAAAACAGGTGATGCCCCTAAGCACACAATGACAGGGAATTCTTCCTTGGCCCTATCGTGAGCACTAAATCTTGGATTTTAAAAACTATATAACTCTAAAATTATTGGAATTATACTTCGTATTTATATTCGGTATTTACAGAATATATTATCTGAGTTTTCATGTTCTAGCGGTAGTTGGAATTTATGTACTGGAAACCTGTATTACCTATTAGCAACTGGAATTCTTTTTGAGTTTAGATCATTAAAAAAGAGTTTGACTACACTGAGTTCTAAAAATTTTAATTTTTAATTAATAACCATACTTGTTGTGTAACATATGTGGAAAAGACAAAATGTTATCATGAAATTTGTCTTTGTGGTCAAACTAATGCTTTTCTATATTTCTATATATGATTTCAACATATGAATTTATAGGAATCACTGAACTTATTTTTTAAGATTTTTTTTTTTTTTTTTTTTTTTTTTTTTTTTTTTTTTTTTTTTTTTTTTTTTTTTTTTTTGTTGGCCAAGTATTGCAGCACTAACAGAGTGCTAAAATGCTAGTACTGAAATTAGGTCTGTACAAAAAGTGGCAAGGATTCGTGGCATACTGCTCTTGGAAAGGCCAGGGGAACATTCAGAGGTTTTGACTTCTTTGAATCTGGAGGCTGATTACCTTGAGAATAAGAAGTGGGCCATGCCTGAAGCACCTTTAAAGTAAGCCCCCTCTAAGGAGAGGGGAATGACTGGGAAAATTGGAAAGGATATAGCTTCTTTCTGATGCTTGTTTCCAAACTGATATGTATTTGTGCTTCGGTGGAATTGATTCTTTTTGAAGAACACAAATGTTTGCAAGAATTATGTCTGTTCTTCACAAGACGCTCCTTGAGCTGTCAGCTTTTGCAAAAAAACCACATAGATGTACGTACAGTTTTAAGTGAAAGGTGTTACGTAGATATCGAACATTTGAGACCAAATTTTGTCATATTTAAGGTGAAAGGCGGTTAATAAACTTCAGGACGGTTTCCCTGCCATGGTTGCAATACATGATGTTGAGATTCTTCTTGTAGAAGGGTATGCCAGTTCCAGGTCTTACCTGGTTTTGATAAGGTGGTTAATGGAGTTAGCCAAGGCTCGTTTCTGCAGATTAATTCATGTGGCTTAGGTCAGTACTTTTGATGTATCATAAATTAAGGGAAGTGATCAGGCTAAATAGTACACAGCTGTATGCACATTAATCTGGATATAGAATCATAGAATCGTCAAGGTTGGAAAAGACCCTTAAGATCATCGAGTCCAACCGTCAACCAATCACTGCCAAGTCCATCTATACCATGTCTTCAAGCACCGTATCTATCTATCCATTCTTTAAATCCCTCCAGGGATGGAGACTCAACCACTTCCCTGGGCAGCCTGTTCCAATGCTTGACCACCCTCTCGGTGAAGAAGTCTTTCCTAATGTCTAACCTAAACCTCCCCTGGCGCAGCTTGAGGCCGTTTCCTCTCGTCCTATCACTCGTTACTAGGGAGAAGAGACCGACCCCCACCTCGCTACAACCTCCTTTCAGGTAGCTGTAGAGAGCAATAGGGTCTCCCCTCAGCCTCCTCTTCTCCAGGCTAAACAACCCCAGCTCCCTCAGCCGCTCCTCATAAGACTTGTGCTCTATGTTACCTGGAATAAGGTAATTGACAGTAATTTTCAGATTGTCACCAAATGCCACTTATTATAGAAATTAAAAAAAAAGGGGGGGAGAATCACTTAAAAAATTGCATTTGATTAACAGGAAAAATCTTTATAGTACTGTCAGAAAATAAAAGAACTCTGGTATCGTACAAACCTGAAAGCAAAACTGTTTTGATGATTAGGGACATTATTTACCAATGTAGAGCTAGAGATGATGCACAAAATATAATCCAGGATGTAGGAACGTTTAGTTGTCTGCTTTGTTTTTATGCAGTGATTTGTACCAAAGAGGAAGAAATGAATGGGCTCCAGTCTAAACTCTTCTCATTAGTTAAAAAGTGAAACAGGTTAACAATATTACTGAAATATTTATTATTACTAAATAACTAATATATAATAATATATTAATATATTGAATATAATAATATATTAGTTATTACTAAATAACACTGTGCAAATTAAAAGGCAGTACACTACATCCGTTGTCTAGTACTGCATGTTAGGAAAATCTGAAGATAAATTAGCCTGCTGAAGTGCCTTTCTCTTTCATCAGACTTATTTTATCAGTGGGACACATGACTATCTGAAAAGCACATTATAGGTTCTTTTCTGTTAGCCAAAAACACCTCAGTTCATACTTACAATTATGTAGCTTTTATAATACTTTAAAAGGCAGATCTAGTGTTTTTTATGTTGGAATACTGACTCCTGCATGTTAATGATGATGGTAATTGTTGTAAACCCTGTTCTTTTGTATTTTATGTTTGAAAAGAAATTAAAAAAATATATCTTTAGCAATCTGAACAGTAGTATCTTTTAAAAATGCACATATGGGATCTGATTCAACTTCGTAAATGAAGATGCAGTGTCTTGAAGTCACTGGATTTACAGGTATGAAACTGACTGGGATTTTAATTTGAAAAATGAAATTAATATATGTTTATATATAAAAACTATTATAATGATAAAAATCCTTTTTTCAGCTGCTAACCTTCCTTGCCAGTAGGAGCAGAAAGTGTATGGAGATAGGTACTTAATTCTTATTTTCTAGAACCTGTTTTTATCTCAATTTGGAGCCTAACCTGCATTGTTTATATAACCCGAGCTTCTGCTTTTTTCAAAAATGAAATTAATATATGTTTATATATAAAAACTATTATAATGATAAAAATCCTTTTTTCAGCTGCTAACCTTCCTTGCCAGTAGGAGCAGAAAGTGTATGGAGATAGGTACTTAATTCTTATTTTCTAGAACCTGTTTTTATCTCAATTTGGAGCCTAACCTGCATTGTTTATATAACCCGAGCTTCTGCTTTTTAAATTATTTTTTTTAATTCAGTGGAATTATGCAAAACACAGTGCTATGCCTACAGAGTTAAAAATGAGCATTCTTTTATAGTAGTTTGCACTAATTTGTGCCACACTTCTAACAGTAGGCAGCTACATTTGTGTTAAAGAATTTATATGAAAAGTGGTTTAAATGACTTTAACCTGAGCTTCATTTTCTTTTAAAAGCAGTATTCAGTGTGTTCTGATTACCAAAAAAAATGGCTTCAGCTTTTTTTTGTTTTTTAAGACTGGCAGGGGAAAACTGTGTCATTATTTTTAGTATTAGCACTCTCAGCTTGAAAATTATTTTACCAAATGATTTTTTTTTTTGGTCAGTTTAAGACTTATTGAACATTCCTATATTGCCCCTCCCCAAAATATACTGGTACTTTATTTCCCAGTTTACTGATTCAATTCCTTTGAAGCACTTGTTGCACTTCAGTCCATGTTAGAACAGTAATATTTTTACAACATCTTGTTATTGTGTAGAAAGGCACTTTTTAGTGCTCATTAGAGCATGGAGTTCATAAAAAACCTGGCTCAGAGATGCTGAAACATAGGTGAACTGATGGCACTGACTGTGCTCACCAGCTTGCACGTTGGAGCCTTATATTCAACAACCACTTCATTACCTTGGCGATCATTTTCAAAAACACTCTAGTATGGATATTGTTCATGTAAAACATTCTTGATATTCAGCATCCTGGTTTTAAGTATTTCTACTTTTTTATATTTTGTCAGAGGTGTCTCTTCATCTCTATATTTAGTACAGTATCAATGTATCTGTGGCTGAAAATGTAACTAAGATTTGTAAAATGTTATAGCTTATGCAATATAATAAAAGTTTTAAAATGTCATCAGTGCCTTAACTTTTATTTGAGTGTCTTTGAAGTCTTACATTGTTTAGGAACATACCTCTCTCACTTAAGAGTTTTTTTCCTAAATATCAATAAAAATGTATTTCTATCATCACCGTAATTCCAATGACAGAAGAATGTTATTGTCCTTAAGTAACCAATTCTAATTCAGTCACATTCTCTTTTCCATTTCTACTGAAGACAGACACCTATATCCACATTAAATCTGGTTCTTGTTTCTTGGTTAGTGCAGGTAAGGCTATTCCTCGTGTAAATTTATTTTGTTGCAATTGGAAAGGGGTACCCAGAGAAGACTATTCAGGTTTTGTTCTTATGTCTAATCTCACTTTCTCCATTCTTTTATTTAGAGACTTTCTGTCGCTGCAAGAACAAATAAAAGATTATTTCTGTATGTCTGCACAGTGTATAAGACAGAGGCATCGATTCCAGCTACGAATAAACTCAAAGTACTTAAATCCAGGTAGAAGAACAAGATAATATTGTGATAGACCTTAAGCTAAACTTCAGGGTATAATTTCCTATTCTTAATTGTATCTAACAGTAGTATTTCTCAAGCCTTTTTCATTTCTAAGTTTCACAAAAGCCACATTTCAGTATTTTCACCATTGTTCAGAAACCCTGCGGGACTGCAGGCAGGCACATGGCAAAGGTTTTCGTACCATGGGGGGCACTTGAATGTGTTGTATGATCACTCCTTTAATGCTCCAAGAAGCTACAGTCTTTTAGTAAACTACTGGTTTTCTTCTTACTCTCACATAATACCTTTTTTATTTTCAACCTTCCTGAGAATTTTTTTTTAACTATTGCAAATCTATCAGATACTTCAAAATAGAGTGAACTTTCTCTCTACAGGAAGCTAAAGAAATCTGAGGAATTTTATTTCTAATTCAACAAGAGAATGGTATTTTCTGTCATATTTCACTTCCTTGTAAAAATTAGATATCTGGGTCATCAGCTGATCTGCAAATGCAAATAATTATATCAAAATTGACTGAAGTTCAACTTGTTCTGTGTTGTCGTAGAAAACACAAAATCGAAACTATACAGATTACTCATTTAAATAAGAGTTAAAGTATATGTGAGTAGATGATATTGTTTTGTTTGTTCTGAATACATTGTTAGACATGCTATTTCTATTAAAACATATGGTAAGATAATTGGAAAAAGTCAAGTTGCAAATCTGGCTAAGCTTCAACAAAATGTTCCCATTTTTCTTGGATTCTCAGAATAAAACTTCAAAAGTGGCAGGTTCTTATTGCACGTCTTTCTTGTGTTTAACTAACAGCTCAGGCTCTCATTCAGTCAGGCTTTATGTTTACATTTATTGCATCTATTCAGGTTTAAATCTTCATTATACTTACTGGGAATCTAGACCTTAAAGAAAACTAGAATTACTAAAATTTAAATTTATTTATTATATTACCATTTGGGAAATAATTGTTAGACTCAGGAATTCTTTGGCTTAGCCATCTGTACATGATTGAAAATGGCTAAGTGGGTGGTTCCTGTATACTATTTGGAGGCTTAGCTCCTCTTTTAAGCATTTACTATCAGGAAACCATAGCAGATCTTACAGAATGTACCTGATACTATAAATAGGTTCTTTTCCATCTTGCTTTTACTATTGCGCATTTGAAAATAGCACATTTGATATCATTTCTTTCAGCAATAATGTTAAAATGAGTCTGGCTTCATTACATCTCTGAGTAAGAACTGTTACTTAAGTGGTCTTTCAAGAATATAAAAGCTTTCTGCATTTTACATTTAGTTGAGTAATTTACTTGATTAAAGGTTAAAAACTTGCAAATAAGAAATAGTGACAATTCTACAAGTCTCTGGCTATTTTCTGAAATACATCTACACCAGCCAAACCAGTTCCTCTGTTTATTTGAGAAGATTTAATAGAAACATTGCTCACAGCATTGAGTTCATTTTTGTAGTACCTACAGTTCATACCATCTGATTATTCACTTATTAATTTGTTTCTTGGTCTCTAAGAAATTCTGTGTATGGAGTATAAAAGTAAGAATGTAACTATCTTATCTAAAACAAGACAGTCATGAGCTGCTATGCAGTGGAATTCCTTCCAATAATAAATCTATTTTTGTTGTTTTAAAGTTCAGATGATTATGTTTAGGTGTTGGTCTTGTTAGGAGCCTCTGTTGATGGCTGGCGGTTCTCACATCCTCATTGTCCTTTTTGGAGGAATGGTTTGCTGTGCACGAATGGACCTCCAAATTCAACCCCCTGAGATATCTTAGAATTGTGGAATTATTACAGCAATCTTTTTAAAAAGTAACTACTTTGTTTATATTGCCACAGTCAAACTGATGCTGGCTTCTCAAAACATTATGAATGTCATCCTTTCTAATGGTAGTGGACTTCCCAGAAAATGCTGTTTCAAAAGAGCTTAGAGAGTCATCCTTGCTATGCCTGGAAAAATCACTTAGATTTCTACTGCTGTTCTAATCAGATTTTCCTAAATGGAGGTTGCTAAAAAAAAAATCTTAAAATTAAATCCTTTTGGGACTTTGGCACATCTTTGTTAATTTTTTGAAGCTACTTTGAGAACTTTCTGATGCATGTTCAGATGATATTTGCTTGACAAATAATCCATTTCCAGATACACAAATTTCTGGTTCCACTTGCTTTGCAAGTTTGCTAACATTTGCATGAGAACCTGTTGGGTAGTTTCCATGTTTGGCTCGCGTATCCTTCCAAGTCAGAGAATTGTACGCAACATATTCATCAATAGGACGTGTTTCTTTGCTGCAGTAGCCAACTGTCAATACACTGCCTATGAAACTTAAAAGATGGAAAAGTCAGCTGTTGCATAATATTTCTTAGCTAATTATGGACTAATCAATTGTTCTTGCATATAACTAATTCAAAGAAGCCTCTTCTCCAATGTTACGAGTGGAAACCCACAGGAACTTCACTGATCGCTAGGGGGCTATGTTGCTTACGCATAGATTGAATAGATTCTAAGTTTTGGGCACTGTCAAGTTAAAGAGAGTTAGTTAAGATTTTACTGACTGCTGTAAACTGGATATTTAAATCTCACTTTTAAAGGTGCTGCAAATATCAAGTTACTTAACTGTAACAGATAATGTAATTACACATATATTTGCTACTGTAAGGAATCAGTGATGACTCTGTTAGCCTTCCCTTTCAGCTTAATTCCCCTTTTGATTCTGTTCCATATCAATTCTGGACTTAAAGGGCAGTAACTACTGAGATTGTAACCAGGATCCTACAAGTGAGCAAGGAGTTTGAATTTGTATTACTGCTGTCATGTCATCAGTGAAGAAACACTGCTGGTCAGGTAAGCTAGCTTGAGTTAAATAAATCTGAAAAGGGCTATCTTTTGTGAACTTGCTTAAAGGTGCTGGTACAAACTAGTAAATGTGAATGTCACAGGTTGGCTGGGTAATATGTATTTCCAAATCATGAAACTTGCTGCAGGATTGCAAAAGGCTCCCCAACTTTCAAGTAAACTTGGTTCCTTTTTGCAAAAAGTATACTGAGACAGATCAAAACTCCACTGCTAAGTGTTTGAAATTATAAACTGCTCAGAGGATGAAAATGTGCCTCTCAAATACTGGGAAGGTGCTAACTGACACTCATTAAGAAGCACAGAAGGAATATGGTTATTTTGGCTTCAGCTGATAAACTAGTAAACAGGCAATATTTCAGCATTTCAGTATCCCAGAGGGTCTGAATCTTTGCAAAATAATCTGGTTTAAATTTTTTAAAAATCTAAGTTTGTTCAAGGTGATCTACTCAGAGGGATGCTACTGAGTTCTTGCAGAATGTATCAGAATTAGAAGAATATGAAGAGTGAACCAGGCTCCTAAAGAAAAGTACCACATTATTCGGAATTTGTTCTATAGAGAAGTAAACATCAGTAACAGTAGATAACAGTGAAGCGTATTTGAGTTGTCACTAATGGCCATAAAACATACATATCCCTGATGCAACTTTTGTTTCTAATGTTATTTACCTTGTCTAAGCTTCAAGAATAAGAACGCAGACTGTAGGAACAACCTGATTCATTACTAGTAGAGAACTATGTATCAGACCATGTCATTATGCTGCTCCTTGCCATTTGTTTGTAAAAAATTATTTTAGCGGCCATTTCTAACCATTATGCTTCCTGTGCCTTAAAGCAGATGTTAAGACTGAGGCATACAGCTGTCATGGTTTAACCCCAGGCAGCAACTAAGCACCACACAGCTGCTCACTCACCCTCCCCTCCACAGTGGGATGGGGAAGAGAATCGGAAAAAAAAGTAGTAAAACCCGTGCGTTGAGATAAAGACAGTTTATAAGACAGCGGAGGAAGTGAGAATAATAATAATAATGATAAAAGAACATACAAAACAAGTGATGCACAGTGCAGTTGCTCACCACCCGCTGACCGATGCCCAGCCCGTCCCCAAGCAGTGATCACTGCCCCCCCAGCCAACTCCCCCAGTTTATATACTGAGCCTGATGTCATATGGTATGGAATAGCCTTTTGGCCAGCGTGGGTCAGCTGTCCTGGCTGTGCTCCCTCCCAGCTTCTTGTGCACCCGGCAGAGCGTGGGAAGCTGAAAAGTCCTTGACTTAGTGTAAGCACTATTTAGCAACAACTGAAACATCAGTGTGTTATCAACATTATTCTCATACTAAACCCAAAACACAGCCCTATACCAGCTACTAGGAAAAAAAAAAAAATCAACTCTATCCCAGCTGAAAATGGGAAAATGGGATAGGAGTGTAGACTTGTGGGGAAAATCCCTCATGTGCCCCTGCTTGCTTTGTGGTGAGTGGTTTTTGTTGCCATGTCCTCAGATAAATTCTTGGATGCATTGTCTCCAGTTTGTGGTTGCTCTGCTCCCACCACTGAGGTTTACTCTTGTAAGGACTGATTTTCTTTAATCATAGGGCCAGCTAACTTGAGTTTCTCTCTGGACAGAAACACATGTCGTGTGAGGTATCTCTGTTTATTCCAGCTTTTGCAGATGAGTCTCAGTTTCACTGCCTTTAAAGGAGTTTGTGCTCTAGCAGTGTTTCTTTATTTTTGGTGTTTCTATGTTGACATTTTTATTTAAATTACTCCACATGGTGCACCCTCACAGAGTCTGGCCTTTTTCCTGCATTGCTTTCAGGCTAATTTTAAAGGCTGATACGAGTTCCTTTATTTTTCATACTTATGTAATGATTCAATTTGCTTTCATGTACAGATGTGTATCTATGTGTATCTATTTATATCAATAAATAAAATGAAAAGGTTCTCTGACACAGACAGACAGGAGTGTTGTTACTTGTTTCACTGAAAGAAGGAAGACATCCAGCAAACAGGTGAGTAAAAATGCATGCCACAAATGGAGCTTAATAGGGACTTGCTGAAAGAGCTGTGCCCTGAGCAGGCTCTGGAGGCATCTGCTTTTGTCCTGGGGCTGTCAGCAAATGCTTGTCCAGACAAATGCCTGGGAGAGGAAGATGAGGAGGGACGGAGGGAGCCTCTTCAGGTGTCTCTGAGTCAACACAGGGTAATCTTCATGTAATCCACTATAAATGGCAGTCAGAATATGTTTTAAAGGTTATTACAGTATCCCATCTAGGAAAATTTGTCTTAGTAGCAAAATAACCCCCTCTCCTTATCCATAACCGCGTCCTGTGGTGGTGGCGGGGAGAGGCTGTGTGCGTGGTGGGGTGGGCAACCGTGGCTCTTTGGCGCACACGCAGTTGCATGTGTTCTTTCTCCTGTGCTCAGTCTCCTCAAAACAGGGGAAAAAGCTGCATCCGTTCAAGCAGGAAGAGTTGCTGCCACAGGACTGGTACAGAAATGGTCTTCAAGAGCCCCATGTTTGTTCCAAAAGTGCATGGGAATGTATATTGGTAACAAATGAGGGTCAGGGGTGGTTACTTATCTGGATGGTGCAGTGTGGTGATTCACGCTGTAGCAATGCATGAGAACAGGCTTCCTATTAGCAAATCCCAGCATGTTAGCTAACCCACAGGGACAAGGGGCCAGTAATCTGGGCCTGTTTCATGTGGACCGGCTATTATGCGGCCCCGACTGACCGGAACGTGTGCCAGAGGGCAATGATAAAAGAACATACAAAACAAGTGATGCACAGTGCAGTTGCTCACCACCCGCTGACTGATGCCCAGCCCGTCCCCAAGCAGTGATCACTGCCCCCCCAGCAAACTCCCCCAGTTTATATACTGAGACTGATGTCCTCTGGTATGGAATAGCCTTTTGGCCAGTCTGGGTCAGCTGTCCTGGCTGTGCTCCCTCCCAGCTTCTTGTGCACCCGGCAGAGCGTGGGAAGCTGAAAAGTCCTTGACTTAGTGTAAGCACTATTTAGCAACAACTGAAACATCAGTGTGTTATCAACATTATTCTCATACTAAATCCAAAACACAGCACTATTACCAGTTACTAGGAAGAAAGTTAACTCTCTCGGTCGAAACCAGGACAACAGTTAAGCAAGGGTGCAAACTTTCAGACTAGTCACATGAAGACTTGTCATTGGTGCCTTAAGGGTTCTAATACACTATGTGCTGCAGGATGTCAACATCAGAAGGTCTGATGTGCTACAAGTTAACAGGCTATGTGAAGATTTGGCTCTTCAATGTTTAGAACACTTTTTTTTCCCTCTTACCTTGTGATTGCATGGTAGGAGTCTTACATGCTGACCAAGTTGAAAGCTCTTTAAACAAAGTCTACACTGAATACCTGAGGCCAGTAAATTACTATGTTTACTAATTAAAATGATGGGTAAAGATTTTACAATGTTCTTTAGAGTACAATGAGTCCTAAAAGAAAACAAACAAACCCCAGTAAATTTGAAGAAACAGCAACTAAAGCTGAATGCTTCAGAATAAGTTGTCTTTTGACAGAAGGTTCTCTTCAGCAGTACCTTAAATTATTTGATGGGCTAACCAGTCTGTCAAACCACAGCTGCTGTGAAAGTCATTCCACTGATGTTGATCTTACTGTGACAGTCATAAACAGACACACACACATCCCAGAAAAATAAACTAGTATGTTCATTTAGCCTCAACAGTTGCATAATGTAAGCCATTGAATTTTACGCAATAATTTCTACATCAATGTTTTTGAACAAAAGCTACAAAAGTTTTCATGACCTTTTGAAACCCAAGGTCAGAATTCATAACCCAAATATTGTGATCTCTTGCAAAGCTACCTTAGTTTTCAAGTTATGTGGGATCATATCTTGCCCTATCTTGGATTATAGACTCTAAACCTCTCAACTTCTAAGACATAAGTATATCCACTTATGGTTGTTACGGTAATCTGAATTCACTGATTTTTGTGGGTTTTTTGTTTGGTTTTTTTTTCCCCCCTCTGCTTTGATTCTATGTAGTGAATTAACGGTATAAAAGAACCAACTGTCTGTATCTCAGTTGGTGAGGCATGCAGCTGCGGCAGCGGTAAGCTAGGATGTATTTCCATCTGCTGTCCCTATAAGGGTGCCATGGTGCAACGTATACAGACAGAGGACAATTAATCTCTCTTAGTTTATGGTGTTATTTATGCTTATCTCAATATCGTTCTGTAGCTACTTAGCTTGTAGCTAAGTAAGTCTAATTCAATGCAAGGTCTGCATGATTTGTATAAGGGTAATTGAGATCAGTATTATATAGGTCAGGGTAGGATACAAAAAAGAAAACCTGTTTGGTACCTGTCTGAAAACAAAAACGTGGAGAATGGCAAAAGCCAGTGAAACAGTCATGACATAGGTGATACTCAACACACTCAGTACACCTAAAAGGAAAACCAAACCCACATCAACAGAATAAGGAGCTAGGTTAACAAGCAGTTAACACTTTATCAGAAAGTAGTAGCTACATTTATTATTTGGGAAAGGACAATCCCAAATACATAATACAGAGTTGTTTGGAGATGTTACTACACTAAAAGCAAGTTTGAAAATAAAAAACGTTGCTTTGTTTACTACGGATGTTTGTTTGTTTACAAAGCACATATTGTCTACTCTGTAGGTGAAATCATTGACTTATAATAAAGGCAGAGAAATAAGCGACAAGCTGTAAGATATACTCAAAGACATAGCACTGTCAAAATCTTGGTTTAAAAATACTTGTAGCACTTTCCTACAGTTGGAAATACTCTGCAGTTATTACAAGGGATTCTAGGGTGCCTATCCAGTCTTGCTTTCTCTGTTGCAGTCACAAGTTGTTTAAAGTTTCTAAATTCTTCTAGAATGAGCCTTACAGGTGCAAATTTTTGTCTGCAAAGTAGACACTTCACTACAGAGTCATTCTCAAGTTCATCTTGGTGGTCAGCCCAAATTTTCATACATTTTATGTGAACGTTGTTACCACAGCTGTATCTACAGAAAACAAAAACCAAAATAAAATTTGGTATCAAATATCTGTGATCTCTCCAGAAGCATATAAGAAAACTCACATAGCAATACTAAGTGGTCTTCCCTTTTCTTTTGCTCCTTCCCCTCCACCCACATTTTAACTTGTAGGATTGCCGTATTTTCCAGGTTGGAAAAGGGCTATAACAACTGTCAGGTATTTTTGCTTGTTTATTGAAGCTAGTTATATTAGCAGATCTTGTAACATTTATTCTATAATTAGACATATAGCAAGACAAAGAACAAATTGTATACTTAACCGGCAGTAAGCGATGGGAAGCATTTTCTTTAGTAACTCCTGACAAATGGGACAAACGTCCTCATCATAAATTTCTTTCTGATCAATGCATCTATCATTCCTCTAGTGTAAGGTTTGTGAGAAGAGAGTTTCCTGTGGATTTTGTGTTCATTCTTAATGCAATCACTGAAGCACATCATCAGTTTCTCTTTCCAGAAGACCCAACTTAAAAGCATCTAGCAAAAGTAAACATGAAAATTAAAAGTGTTTTGGTAGAACTCTGCACTTACCTCACTTGTAATAGTTCTCCATCTATGAAATGCAATAGGTACTCTCTCTGTCAAATATATGCAATACGTTTCAGCCCCCAAAAACTTGTAAATTGTTTTTTATAACTTGCAAAGAAACTGTTAATATTGCTTATGCAAGTTCTTATCTAAAATGGTGTCCAAGGCAAAAACGAATAAAAATGTTTCTGAACTGTGAAGTTTTCAATAATTTTTCAGTAAGTTCAATTTGGTTCACTGAATGTATTGATCGGAACAGTGTTTCATCCCAAAAGGCCTTTGTAGATATGTTTAAGAGTAAAAAAGTTTTTACTTCTAAGTACTGGTAATGAACAACTATGGAGGATTTTCTAGAAATATTATTTCTTGGAAAAATAAACAGCATAGTGTTTTTTCTGTCTAGTGACCTCTATTTAAAAAAAAAAAAACTAAAAATGCGTTCCAAACCCCAAATTAAGCCTTGCACCATCTTTTGAAACATGGAATAGTAAAGAAGTAAATATTATTTCCTTAGTATAATTCATGATTCTTGTGAATTAAATTTATTTTTCTTCTTACTCAAGAGGCTAATCTTACAACCAAATGCTGACACTGCAGTAAAACACGGAAGGGTGTTCCTTGAAGTTTCCTTATTTTCAGGAGGTGAAAATGATGCAAGGTAGGAAATTCCTCTGCTAACAGCCAGCTTTGGCAAATGAACTTGTTCTCTGAAATTCAGTCTGGGTTCTGATACCACACATCAATATATTCCATAGCCAGAAACCAGTTACAAATTCTAGTGATGAGTTAAGATGACAACCTGCTCACTTTCTGCTGAAGTTATTTTGCCTATACAAAACTTAAGAAAGTAAAATGTTCTAAAATCTAGTTCAGATAGAAAAATACAAACTAGGTTCTGACTATGTACAAGATGTTTGGTTTTGTGTGTAAATATTTTTTTTAAAAGTAACTTTTTGAATGGTGGCCATTCTTTAAGGTTGGTTTGTATTTAGCTACTTTGTTACTACTTGGAAAAAGATCTTTAGACTAATTATTTTGTGGGATATTTATGCTATTTGTGTTATTTTGAGTTCCTAATGTTCTAGGAAAGGAAATCTAGCAAACCAGTTGAGAATCTGGCTCATAATAGCCTAAAATCCTGACTCATGTCAGAAAGCTAATCTGGCTATACAGATTGTACCTTCTGGATTAGAAAGCTTTGTGGTTTTGGTGACAGCCACAAATGTCAAAATCAGTCAAGGATTACATTTTGCACAGCTTGCTTTCTTCACATACCCCTACATTTGAGGGGGAATCTCCATGATATAGGAAGCATTCATTAAACACTACTGTTTAGATGATGTGAAAGTAGAATATTGTCCTAAACTAGAAAAGTCATTGCAGTTATATTAGTTGGTGCTGAAGGACTCACTACACAAAAGTGATAAAAGAACTGTAGTTCTATAGCTAACTTATTATTAAATGAAGAAGCAAATTTGTCAGTGTCTACCGGCTAAGAATATCTTGAAAGCACTGGAATAACTTCAGTACAAGGTGTATGTATTTGAAATTGTTGCTTTTTCTGCGTTTTCATTTTTCTTGAAACTGCAGTTGTAATCAATGATATAACACAAAATGTTCTGTATCGGAAAAAAAGAAACAAATGGGAAAATGCCTGACAGCACTAATTTTTTTTTTTTTTTTTTTTAAGTGGAGGAGGGAGAGGAGGAACAAGACAGTGACCTATAAAAATTTTTTTCAAAACGCTGGAGGATGTTGCTTCACGCATTTAAAGTTCATAAGCTCTACATGCAAGCCATAAAAGAGAGGCTAACGCTTACCTTCATGATCTCTTGGTAATCGATACTTTTTCAGCAGTATCCTACAATTTATAATCAAAATATCCGATATGTAAAAACATCAATGTAAAGTTAGTTAGTTGTTAGTTTGACTTTACAATTTAAATGGAGCAGCTTTCTAAGAGTCTTACACAGTCTTACAGAGAAAGAATTGTGTGATTAGATGAGAGAAGATGAGTGATCTTACTGTAGTAAATTCAGTTTAATACATTTAAATGAATTTTAAAAAATGAATTTAAATCAAGGGTGTAAGCCCATTCCTAGTTTATATTCCTGTCACTTCTCGGGCTTGTTTGATTTCTTCAGTGACCTGGTTCCACTCACTAGGCTGCCAAAAAACTAGCCTAGCCAAAAAATAGTAATTTTCTGTTGATTTAGTGGGTTTTGATTCAGCCTATAGAATCCTGAGACAAGTAATACGAAGAGAGAATGGGACAACTCCTGTGGGAGCAGGAAACGATTTCTTTGATGTCTGCGTGACACTTCATGTTGCGGCAGTGGTTTGTGACTCCATTTGGAGTGCATCCGGGGCTGTGGTGGAAGCTCCATGGGTTTCTTTTGAAGTCTGAAACGGATCTTGTGTCACTGTTTTTGACACCAGGTTTACCTTTGCTCCGTCATAAAGACCCGTGGCCGCCAGGAGCCGCCGCGCCCCCCTCCGCCTCAGAGGCAAGAG